ATTTTTATGTATATTATTTTGCAGATAGCAAGTGGTTGAGCTTTATGAAAATACATGAAGAGATTGAGATCCTATGCATGGAGAATCTCTTAACTTTAGATAATATTTTGCAGACGTTTGACTATGTTATAGTTTAATGTTTTATGTTTTTAATGATACATTACAATATTGTGATACTTGGAACAATTATTATTTATATATTTATTATCTATTGATTCAAGTTTATACAAATATAAACAATGAACTAAATTAGATATATTCTTTCTTCAAATGAATACTTGCTAACTCATAATATAATTTCATTAATCAAGAAACTATTGATATACATAATAATATTAAATATATTCGGATTAAATATTACAATTGGCAGAAAAGATTAAATTTACTATTTACGTATTTTGATGGTCATAGTTGTTAAAAGTATTCATTTATAGAAGTCAAAAATATTTTATAATAGTCATTTAAGGCTGTCGAAAATTGTTTGTTGATTTGGTATGAGAATTTTTGACAGCTAATGATTGTAAAAAAAAAACATAAAACTTTTATTCATGGCCACTTATTGTCGATAATACTATTTTCAACAATATTTTATTCAACACTTGTTAATTGTCACATAAGCATTGATAAAACTAATATTGACAATTAATGACACATATTTTAACATTTGTGACCCTCAAATATGAAGTAAGAGGGAGGAAGAAGAAGCCAATGAAGAGAGAAACATGATGGGAAGGAAAAAAAAGTTTAGTTAATGTGTCTAAAAGGGAAGAGAGAGAGGGAAAAGTGAGGAGGAAGAAGAGAGTTATCAAAGAAGAGCTCATTATGGAAGGGGCAAATGGGTCATTTCACTGAAAAATATATTTACAAATGAAACCTTTGGACTCTCAAAATAATTTCATATTATATTGGGTCTTATATGCAAATTTCTTGCTTTTAGGGCCCTTAATATGTTTCTCCTTTTATTAATAATATTTTTTCAATATTACCCTTCATGTTATATTCTCTCTCTTTAATATTCTTTTACAAATTGAGTATTAAATGAAGTTCATTTTTATAAGTTTATACTTTTGTAAGGTTGTAAAGTGTATTAATGAGTTTTATTGGTATGTATGATTTTATCTAAAAGTATCTTATAAATTAAGTAGAAAGGAGTAAATAGTCTACTACATACAGGGGGCCATTAATGACAATAAAAGACCTCAAATTATTGAAATGTCAGGGGAAGACTAGAGCCTCTATTTGTGACTCATGAATTTAAGTAAAATTAGTTGTGAATTTAAGCAATGTTACTTGTGAATTAATGAAATGTCAATTATGAATGAATATATAGTTTTATGAGTTTATGTATCATCATTTATGAATTTAAGAATAGTCACTTGTAAATTTTAGGAAGGTTAATAATAAATTTATGAAATTTTAATTGTGAACGAATAGATAATTTATTGAATTCATGAGTAATTTATGATTTAGAAATAATTAGTTGTGAATTTAATGAATAATTTTTGAGAATATATAAAACGTTAGTTGTGAGTAGATAAAAATAGTCTTAATTGTAAATCAATAATTTGGAAACCCTCTCTCATGTTTCTGAATATACGGTTACAACTGGCTTTTCATATATTCATAAATGGTTCTCTTTAAATTCTCAAGTGACAATATATATATTCATAAAATTATTATTCATTCATAATTGACTTTTTATATATTCATAAGTGATCTTTCTTAAAATTAACGATCAACTTTTCTTAAATTCATGAGTGGCCTTCTATTGATTATTTCAACAATTAAAAATATTTTAATAGCAAATAAAAATCATGGTCCTTTTCTGACATTTTAATATTTTGACACCTTCAATTGTCATTATTGTCTTTAAATGTCCCTAATTATCCATTTTCCAAAAAATCATTTAAATAATTTAGAGGAATTGCAAACTGCTATGCCCTTCTCAATTGAGGCGCCATCTCTGTGTACTGTATACAATTTTTTTTTTTTGGGTAAAATTGTTTACAATGTTTCGATTTTGAGGATGATAAATAAATGATAGAAGATTCAATAGGCATCATTCAGAAAATTCAATTTGTTGGGGGACCAAAAGCCTGAAAAAAAAAAAAGAAAGAAAGAAAGAGAGAAGTAAGGGACAAATTTTTGGTGAGTACTAGATTTAATAAAAACAATAGTGGCGCCACATGTTGCATATTGGGTCATATTATTCATTATTTTGTCTTATATTTTGAGTATATGCTTTGGGTGTCTAGCATATATGGATATTAATCCACTTGGGTAAAATTGTTTACAATGTTTCGATTTTGAGGATGATAAATAAATGATAGAAGATTCAATAGGCATCATTCAGAAAATTCAATTTGTTGGGGGACCAAAAGCCTGAAAAAAAAAAAAGAAAGAAAGAAAGAGAGAAGTAAGGGACAAATTTTTGGTGAGTACTAGATTTAATAAAAACAATAGTGGCGCCACATGTTGCATATTGGGTCATATTATTCATTATTTTGTCTTATATTTTGAGTATATGCTTTGGGTGTCTAGCATATATGGATATTAATCCACTTGATTAGAATCACATATTAGAGTAGGCCGTTATAGCAGAGAATAAGTAGTAACAAAAACGAAACCTTTAATTAAAAAAGGGTTTGAGGGCATTTTTGGACGGTCCAATAGAAAACTAGACATAAATCAAACCTAATTTTTTTTTCTTTTATGTTACGTTTGAATGTTTGAGGATTTAGATTTAAAACAATTTCTCCATTTAAATACGTAAGATTTAGATTTAAAACAATTTCTCCATTTAAATACATAAAAACTTATAGATTTAGATTTGATTCAAATTTAAACTCATATTTTTATTGTAACTTCTTTACAATTTTAAATTTCTTCTATTTTAATTATTTAAAATTTCAGTTACTTCAACATTCTCATTTTTGCATGTTTCTATTATTGATACACTTCGATCACACTCATCTCTCATCTCTCTTTTCGTCCCTCACATGAATAGAGATGAGTTCATTACTTTCAATTTTCTGTTTTTTCTTTGAATTTCAATCATCTTTCTTCTAGTTTTAAAATTTTTGCATTATCTAAATAAAAGATTTTAAATATTGGATTGTAAATGTGATATTTTAAATTCAAATTCATCAATTCAAATACCACCTTAGATAATTTTATACGAAGTTCATATCCATATCAAGACAAGTTAATATTAGTTTCTGAATGTCCAAAAACAAGAACTAAAAATACAGTCAAAATCCAATTAAAAAAAAGGGAAAATTGCATCCAAGGACCAATTTAACAACATATATTGCCAAAAAAATATCAAGCAATTCTGAAATAGCTTTGCAGAACTAAAAGACTAAAATGTACTTAAAACTTATTATGAAAAGACAAAATTATCTCTCATTTTTTTAAAAAAAATTACCCTCACTATCACTAGCCATCAGAACATAGCCAAAGGTAGCCAGATGTCACGGATGATATTTCCGTGACCGTGTAAAGACCAAGATAATGAACGGTCCGCTGGTTAGCCTCGCACAATATGGGTAAAGGGGGCGACATTAGCATTGGGGGTGTTCTGCCTCAGTCTTCGGACTGTGTGCACAACTGGTCGGGGGCTAGTGCCGCCTCCCTGATGAGCCCATGGCAGGGCGAAACCAGTGTGATCCGTACGTGGTAAGGCTTGTCCTGAGGATTATGGGGTCCTCCAGGACGCCGCACGGGCGCCGTGTGCTGCGCCAGACTCTCAGCCCGTGACAGAGTGGTATCAGAGCAGGACGTACTTTACTGCCGTGTGCGCGTGGGGTCCCACGTTGGGACTGGTCGGCCTCGGCACCGCTCCAGAAAGGCCTCCGAGCAGGTGGGTCCAAAAGTGGGGGCTCGGGCGGGATGGTTGGCCGTTGTCGACTCCACTCCTGTTGGCTCGCGGGTGCGAGTGGGTTCGAAGAGTGCAGGACTCGGGTGGCCACCCAGCAAGTAAGCTGGTGTGTTTGTGGCAGTACTGTACGTACGATCCTTGGGCGGAGTCGTTCTCCCCTAGCACGAGGGCGTGCTAGATTGGGTGTGGGAGAATGTCACGGATGATATTTCCGTGACCGTGTAAAGACCAAGATAATGAACGGTCCGCTGGTTAGCCTCGCACAATATGGGTAAAGGGGGCGACATTAGCATTGGGGGTGTTCTGCCTCAGTCTTCGGACTGTGTGCACAACTGGTCGGGGGCTAGTGCCGCCTCCCTGATGAGCCCATGGCAGGGCGAAACCAGTGTGATCCGTACGTGGTAAGGCTTGTCCTGAGGATTATGGGGTCCTCCAGGACGCCGCACGGGCGCCGTGTGCTGCGCCAGACTCTCAGCCCGTGACACAGAGCTCTAACGTAGGCCACATAACTACCACCGTAAAATAGATCTCCAGCTACCCAATGCTAATGATATTAAATTTTTAAGGTGGTCAAGGGAGGTGGCTACCAATTCTTTTGGTGACCAAAAAGTTGAGTTCAAACTCCTCTTGGCCATCTTGAAAAGTTAAATTTAGTTGTTATTTCACTTGAGCTCTAGCCACCTCCGAAGGTGTTCCGATGGTTGGTGACAATGGTGAGATATATGCACATATATATATACATATGAAGGCAGTTTTGCTTTTTCCTCATAAATTTTAATTACATTTAGATATTTTAATTTTGCATAACAATTTCAAAATTATTTGATCATTTTTTACGGAAAATTTGATTCCTAGGTCCTCTCGTGTGATTTTCCCTGAAAATAGAAAAGCAAATAACCCCACCATGAAATTATACAATGTCACATCTTTAATAATTGGGAGGTTGTTTACTCCACATTAGTGAAACATCAACTCTATACTTAGATTGAGTAGAAAATAAAAAAAAATTAAAAGAAAATTAAATTTAAATTTAAAATATACTGTGAATTATCTGAATTTTCACCACTAAACACATTCGTAGAATCATATAGTACACTGGACAACATGACAATCTCTTCAATGAGCAAGACAACATGATTTTTGAATATTAATAACTCTTGCAAACTGAAACAAGCAAGATTGTGCACATACAAATGCATTCACCGATAGGAAGTGAGGAAATTATGTAGAGTTTAATTACACTAATTATACATTCAAAACTTTTCCCTTGAAACAATTACACAGACCAGAAGGAAGGAAAAGAATATGTACTCATGGAGTCACAGGGAACACTTTTGTCTCCAAGAAATTGAAGAAACGTTCGGCATACAACTTAGGCTCAACGACAGATATTGTCACAGGGTCGAATTGCAAAGATTTATAGGCATGTTCAAGTTTCTTTCTTAGGTTGTACTCCTGCAATATATCAATTATTCCCATGTAAAGCACAACATCGTACACCTCAAAAAGCTCCACTTCTGATGCCTCCACCTTGTCCTCCAGAAGCTTTCGGTTTGCTTGCGCTGGCATGTTCACGCCTAACTGCACCCGCAACCTGAGTAGGAAAGTGATGACACACTTGGTTACAGATTAATTGACTGCGTATCACAATGGCAACAAATATTAATGCCCAGAATGTTTAAAAAAGAATGATAGATGATTCGATTTCGGTTCTCAACAGGGTTGATCGTGTCCGCTCGATTAATTCAACAGATGTCCTCAAATTGATGAAAACTTGAAAGCAAGTTAGAGGCAAGGATACAGGTAACAGAGAGTCAGGTGTTTATATGATAGGAGAAGCTGCACATCTCATCCAAGCTAGTGGCTGTAAAGGCATTAGTTGCCGATCATTTCAACTCAATGAAAAGTGAAAACCCTTTGAGCTTGAGAACTCTGAGGAAAAAACAGCCACCTGGTACTGAAATTTCATTTACTTATGAAGAATATGGTTGGCAAGAATTGAGCCCTTGATCATTGATTCATAAAAGCTGTAACCACATAAGAAAACACTGAACTATAAAGTCTTTTGAATAGTTTCATGGTAATCTCTTATTCTCCAACAATTACCGCTGACAATATCTCCCTTCCCAAGGTACTTATGTCAGCTGATCATCCAAAATTGACTGGTAAGTTTAAAGAAAAGCTTCGTGAGGCTACTGGATTAAGATCTCATTGATATGGGAAAAACAATCACAATTGTTTAACATACAAGAGAAACAGGCTTCATGTTAAGCTACCTTGCAGTACCAGGCAGTAGAAGATCAGCTTCTTTGTCACCTATAGAGTATGCCCTCAAAGTATTTCCTCTGATGTGAGGTCCAGGTGCCGTGTTGACAAAACTCGGTTCATGCGCAACTATTAACAGACCTTTAGGAAAAATCAACTGCTCCCCTTGTTTGAGTGCATCTAGGTTCAAAACCCAGTAAATAGACAGTTAAAAATGTTAAGGTTACTAGTTATGTGAGCTTGGGCACTCGAAATGAAACGACTAACCAAAAAAGCAAAAAAAAAAAAATGAAGAAACTAAAATATCAATTAGAATGCATGCTGTAATCATAAAATGTCCCAAGCAAGCAAATAGGGACTGAAGGCAGAAGCTTTTGGGAAGAATATTTACTCCCAGAGTGAAGTCTTACTAAAATTCTACATAATGCCTAATCAGCTCAACTTGGTTGCAGGCAACCATTTCATCCATCTGACACGAAGAGGCATCACAAACGAGATTTTCTACACTGCAACATATTCCTAGTGTTCACAATGTCAACTTTATCTTCAACAGAATATTAAATTTATAAAAAAAAATTAACACATGTAAAAGATCTGAATACCTGATTTATACCAAAATGCAACCTATAAGTTACGAAAGAAAACTGCAATATTACATTATCACTAACTCGCATCAGAGAAATTTACCATCACTCGAAGTTAAACTCTCCTGCTGTTCTGCCAAGGCCTTTAGATTCTCAGGAGCTCTAAAATGCAATCCCAATAGAAGGCTATAATCAATAATTTGTTGCGACTCCAAGAACCCGCAGTCCACTCTAATTTGACTGCACCAGGAAAACAAACTTATGCTTATGATGCATTTTATAATGCATGCCCATGCAATTATTCACAATTCAGATGTAACTGCTATCATGCCACAACCTTGTACCACTATAACAATAACCAAATCAAAATCCATGGCACCCTAGTAACTACACTATATACAAGATTCAATTTCAGTTTATCTAATTAAAAATTTGCCATTCAAAAGTTTCACAGATACACAAATAGTTTCACTATGAAATCATACAAAGAACAATCTGACATGAAGCTGCATTTAAAAAGGATTTAATCTTCATATGTATACTATATAGATCAACAGATTTTGGAATGCAAAGAGATAGACTGATCAGATTTTCAGGCATTGAAGACTATGAATTCAAAGAATTAATGAAACATAGTATTGTAACTTTGTTCACTGTATCAGCAAATAGCTGTTTAGTAACGAGACAAGACAAATTCTGAGGCTTCATAGTTTAGGATCTCAAAACCATAAGCAATATTACTTTTTGGCTGATGCTACAAGGGAAAAACCATGTCTCAGTGGAGGAACTTTATAAGATAACTAAGGCAGCTAATTTCCATGATAAAGAACGTTACAAATAAAACTTGCAATGCGATGGGTGAATTTGCTCCAGACGAAATTTTTTAGAATCATAATCTTAGGTTGTTTCAGTAAGTGGTCATTAATAAAATAATTACATATTAACCACATTACTTGTGAGGTATGGACTTACTGAAGCAGTGATTCTCGCAATTTCTTGTCCATATGAAATTCATATTTAAGATCCAGATCTTTCAAGGTTGTATTTTCATTGATTTTGTCTTTACAGGTAAATCTTCCTTGAGAAGACCCCTTCAAATCATAGCGACGGTGGATATGCAGTTCTGTGCAAAACATATTCCCCATTACCACGAAGCGCACCTGATAAAATTGGCAAGAATATATTTACACAATTTGATTGGAAAGAATAGTGAGAGAAGCTAGAGGAAGATGATGAATAATACCTTTTTCCCACCTCTTAGCATTATTCGATGGAGCCCAAAAAATTTTGTGATAAGAGTATTTTCAAAATTTCCTACATGACTATAATATTTAGGAAGCATCTGAAGTAGAACCTACAAGAAGAGAATATATGAACATAGTCATGAATAAGGAACACCTTTATTACAATCATTTCTTAAAATTTTCATAAAATTATAAAACTATTATAAAATTAGAACTAGAATAGAGAGAAGTTGACATACTATAACATTTACTTCCTCAAAAGAGCAATATAAATACATATTGGGACAACTCTTTTCATATTGAACTGACAGAAACTAATCCATACAAAATAGTATAATAAGAAGTGTTTGCAAAGAAAATTATGCCAGAGAACAATTAAATGTTGATCAATATTGTCAAATCAATTTTAACACTGTTACTTTAACAGAGTAAGTACTGAGTATCCACACTAGAGGCGCACCTTATGCTATCACCCTTTCAAGAAGTATTTAGGAAAGTATTGTGAATTAAGCAAAGTTCTTGGAGGACCCTAAATAAAAGGTTATAAGTTATTACATAGTAATAGTATTAATATCAAGAGAAGTTTCAGGTTTACAGGCAACTGTTATGTACTCACCAGCCTTGAGCCTTTAAGTTCAACATTTATGTTTTCTCCTGAAATTTTCCTTAACCATTTGATCTCTATTCTCTTTAACATGCCAATTCACATAAAAGCCCCATAGGCTTTGAAGCAAGGACTATACATAGACCCATTCAAATATTGTTTTAATTTATTTTGTTATCAGAAAATAGAGAGAACCAGCTATCTCAAAAGCTTGAGATATTAGGAGAAGGCTGATCTTACATCAACATATACCATCTATCTCAAAAATTTGAGATATTAAGAGAAGGCCCGTTTTACATTGACATCTATCACAGGAAACAGAAATATGAAAACATTCATCTATCAAATGAACAAACTAGGCATTGGATTTTATCAAGTATGCTTATTGATCCCAAGGATCGAAGACATGACAAGAATCAAATGGATATGCCTAATTATGAATGTAATACTAAGCCATACTGTAAAATTTCTTCTTCTTTCTTTCTTTCTTTCTTTCTTTTTTATGGCCAACCGACCTCAGAAAAGACAAATAGTGACTACAAACCTTCAGTTCAGATTTTGTCAAAGTTTTGATCACAAATCTGTCATCTTGAGAAAGATAGAAGATGCTGCCACTTTTTCCAGGAGATGTTATGTCTCTCAGACCAGAGTCACCACAAATGGACATCATGTACTCTGCAGCATCTAATTTGAACATCTCTCTCAAATTCCTGGAAATTTATGCTTAAGTAATTATACAAAATACAAGATAAAACAATAATAAGAACTATTTGGACATGTTTAGAGAAACATAAATAGTCACATGCGTACTGCAGGCACCTAACTGCATCAAATGCACAAAGCTTTAGTTTGTAAATCTTCAATTGTTTGTGCAAATTCTACCAGGTCAGCCAAATAAAACATGATGAGATAATTTTTCCTTGCCTTAAAACTTTGAAACGCTTTAATCATGCAGCCACTGTCAGATGAATATTCCAATACATGGCACCCATGATATAACTCTTCAACTTGGAAGTATAGGGTTCATGAAGTTGATTAATACCTGAAGACCATGGGGCAATAATCCTTCCAATAGAAGTCTATGGATTTATGTGGAGGAGTAAACTGTGATCCCTCTCTGGGGAAGTACATTCTTATTCTTGCTCGATCTCCAAAATCAGATGAACGAACTTCACGTGCAGGCACTGGTGTAATCTTGCCAACGGTATACCTGTGAATTCAATCAAATTTAGTCTAAGCTGGACTTTTGCCTCCTTTTTATTGTAACCAGATTAATTATGGTCTGATACACGTGCACCGTTGCCTCCTTTTTATTGTAATGCTGATATTTTAAAATTAGTTGTTTTCAGGTAAAATGTGTTATCTCATTGCATTTGTTACCTACCTAACAATTCAGAAACATCCAACATAGACACTTGACGGCAATTATACAAGAGAATCAGAAAATTGTTTTCAAGAAGTCCAATAACTTGTATAGTCAGGGTGTAGAGGTTATAAAGCAAAAGGCATAGTTAAGGAACTTCATCCATTGACTACAATAGCAATAGAAATCATCAGGATAGATAAAGCAGCATTTTCAAAAGTGCCATGAGGGATTTGCTTTATATCATGGAAACTGACATAACGCAATTATTACTTCCATTATTGCTGCTGTTAAATTCAAAACATTAAAATCAATCTTGGAGAGAACAGAGGAGATAGGGGAAATGTAAAAAATAAAAGACACGAAAGAGAACAACTTGTAAGAAAATAAAAGAGGGCTAAATGCTTAAAACATAAACGGGGAGGATGATAAGATTACATCAAAAACAGAGGAATGAGGAAGAATGCATGTAATTATCAAAGGCCTCAGACCATGCCTCATCAAATTCAGCTATATATACAAGTCTAACAAGTAGTCACCCATATCAATCTATGTGCCTATTTATTAATCTATCACCATCTTTCCTTCTATAATCATCTTGACATGCATCTTATTACAGCATTGAGGAGTCCACAAATTACTACAGAGGATTATTAATCCAACCGACAGAAAGTAGCTAACTAAATGTCTAAATGCCTCCCCTTCAGCATTAATATTTTCAACGATAACTGAAAAAAGTAAGCAAATACTTTGGACATGTATTTTATTAGCTAGATCAAGCATCATCAGCTGCATCTTATTTTGAATAACTGTACCAAAGATATGTCGCATTATTCTACACAGCAAGCAATAATTTTATATTATTAATATGTGAAGCAACTAACAAGTAGGTATTCACAAACTACAAAGAAGTCCACCATCTTAATGACTTCAACTCATCAAATCAGGTAATACAGATGTATAAACTCATTTCTTAAAATAACAGTAATCAAGATAAAAACAGTAACAATAAAAAATAGTATACATCCCTGCAATATTTAAATCTTCTATTGATTATTGATAACAGCCACCAAATCTTCCAAAGCAAATTAGAAGGGATTACCAAAATCTTAGATCAACAAATTTACCTGATGCCAAGTTGCAAGTTAAGCTTCAGATAGTAACTTCGACAACCTCCAAAATGTCCACACATGAACTTGGCTTTACTTGTTGTGCACCAAACTTATTTTGCCACTTGTTTTTGTGTGATAATTCTGAGTATTTCCTAGTTTTCTCCATAATCAGAACTCCTTGCATGTATTCCCTTTCATAAACCCAACTAATTTTATCTGGGTCCTCAGAGTGACCTTCATCAGAGGCAAGGGACCATCTCTGCGAGGAATCATTACATATGCATTCTTGAGCAGGACGATGCTGGGTCCAACTAGAATCCAGTGATGAAGTCCTGTGAGATATATGACGTGAATTTCTTAAGCTACCACTAACTGATACCTTTTCTGAAAGGCTGCGCTTAACCTTTGACTTTGGAGCCCAATGTTCCTCTGAATTCAAATTTGAACCATTATCATCATTGCTAAGAGTGCTACGCCATTTCTTCAAAGAAGGATGTTTACTGCCAGCAGGGTAGAATATTCCTTTTCCATCCTTTAGACCCCTACTCCAAGTCCCGATATAAAGCCCTCCATCTGCAAATCTATAAACTCCTGATCCATGTCTAAGCCCATTTAACCAACAACCGTCAAAAATATCACCATTAGCCCACTTCATAACCCCTCTACCATCTATTTTACCACTTTTCCAATTCCCAGTATATGTATTTCCATTACTCCAAGAATACCTACCACTGCCTTCATGTACTCCCTCCTTCCATAAACCTTCATAAATATCCGAATTGGAATACTCCTTCCGTCCTATCCCATGCTCGGCATTCATCCTCCAGCCCCCTCTGTAAACAGATCCAGAAGACATTGTGAAGGTGCCATAACCATGGAGGTAATTCCCAGAGAACTCACCTTCATACTTTGCTCCTGATGACCAAATAATCAGTCCCTTGCCTGTCATTTTTCCGTCTTCCCAGTCACCCTCATATACCGTTCCATCTAACCACATGTATTTTCCCTTGCCATGGGGCAATACTCCCTTAATCTCACCAATATAGACCTCCCCATTTGACAAGGGCTTCTCATCAAGCCTACAATATATAAAAAACAGTAGAATATAATAATTGCATACTGATGAAATAAATAAAAAGACAAAGAAAGATGAATAGAGTAGGTACCAAGGGGAAGTATTCATAAGGAACAAAAGAGAGAGAGCAACGGTATGTAAATTGGTTCATTACTCTTGAATAGCTTTCTGTGTACAAAGCCTGAGAACAGCTCTCTTATTTTTGGAGCCTTCTCTCTCTCTCTCTCTCTCTCTCTCTCTCTCTGTTTCTTTTTACTTCATCTAGGATGGAATCGAAAGGTCTACCCAACTCATGATTTTTTTAAATATGCCAATCTTAGTTTTTGTATTCTATGCTTAAGATTACGATTGCTATGGAGATTTCTTCTGATTTCCCATGAAACTAAGCTTAGGAAACTTAGAACACCACTTTTTGTAATTATGCAATGAAGTTTCCTAAGGAATCTTAATTTCCTTCAGCACCTACTTTTTCACAAAATTTCAGCAACTTAATACCAACTGCATCCATGTAATTTCAGTTTTACCATCTTATTTTCTTACATATATTCAAAATAACATTTTAATTTTTTATTAATTGCCAGGGTATCCTGATTAAACAAGTCCTTGGGGTAAATTGAAAACCTTTATGCCAAACACCCCAAAAAATGAAGGATTTCCACACTCAAAGGAACAAATCTCAACATCAAGGCATCTCAGTGAAAGACTATATCCAACAATAAAGCAGACTAAGGGTGAGCTCATTGACTCAAAAGCAGGCATGCCTAAATTTATTTAGTGTCACCTCCTTGGTTGCTGCATTCAGCTTTTTTCATGTATGAGTGCTGCAGATCAATAATTAGTGACTCAGTCCCAAATATCCTATCTTTAGAGCACTGAGAATAGCTGATGATAAGTTGCCATTGACCTGAGCATGAGCCATGAATCCTGCTGTAAATATTGCCAACAAAACTGAGAACAAGCTCATCTAAAATCAAATATATAACCACAATAAGCCATGAATCTCACTTTATAGACTACAAAGGCAAATAATACCATCATAACGCTACATTCTTTATTTGTTCTACTTTGCCAACTAATGAAATTTTGCTTCGGGGAATTCATGATATGATTTAATAAAAGAATTAGAAAAGGAAAAAACATATACATATGCATAATGAGTATAAACATAATGTATCTTATTTGTTCTTAATAAAATTGAAAGGCCATATGAGTAAACCCAATCCTAAAGTCAGAGCGCAACCCAGAAACAAAAAACGAAGGTAATAAATCAAACTTTTGTAAGAGACTATATACAGGGATACTGTAGAACTTCATCGATCTGATTGGCATTCTGCTGTTTCACTTTATCAGCAGACAAAGAAATAGCGAATATGCCAGCATTGAACAAATAACGTTTAGTTGGTTTGTTCAGTAAAACAAAAGGGTGTCAATAAAAGCATCTACACTCCAATTGATTGTACTTGAATCCATAAGCTACAGTAATACAGTTGAAGATGATACAACAGAGAAAATCAGCAAATCGAAAGATCCCGAAAAGAATCAACAAACTGACCTTGGGTTGATTGGAGATCAACACCCGTCTTCCCAAAGCGAAACTCTAATTGAGAAGATTCCCCAAAATTAAGCTTCAAGCACACAGCAAGTGAACCCTTATTTTTGGAAATATCTGATACAGAAGCTCACGATTCCTTGCCTAACTGGCCTTTATTCAGTTCCAAGCCGACAAGTGAGTCGTCAGTGTCACCCCAAGATTAAATATTGAATAATAAAATTGAGAAAGAGAGAGAAAAAGATCATACCTGCAGATACTATGCTTGAATCGACACCTCATGCCACCCCACTCTCTCTCTCTTCTACATATATTTCTCTTTCTCTCTCTATCGCTATCTCTGGAATGAGCAATCAACAATCGCTTCTTGCTTAGCCTTTCCTTTGCGTTTTATTGTAGCTGGAACAAGGTTGGTTGGCTTGCCCATGCAACGCATTTGCGGGGCCCTTTTCGCAGAAATGCTTCTGCCTTCTTGTCCCCTCCTAAAACTTTGAGCATTATATGTAGCGTCAGATGCATGAAGTGAGAGGAGATGAAGTTCGAGAAATGAAGAACAGTACTGATATTAATTATTAATTATTAATGAATAATGAATTGTTAAAATTTCAATATTATATGACATGCATGAACTTTCTTTCTATTACAGCATTTTAAATCTAATCTTACTTTTTAAAAAATTAATTAATTACAAATTAATATCATTTTTTGATATATGTCCTTATTTTAATCAAAAAAAATACCTTATACTTACTCTATACTTCCTCCATCAAAAAATGCAAAATATTTTTTAAGAAGTTAAATGTTCAAAAATATAATACATTTTTAATCTTTTAAGATGTAATCATTGTCTTTTTTTTTTAAAGTATCCCTATTGATAATGATTTTATATTTATTATAAGGTGTTTAATAAGAGTAAATATAAAAAGATAGGATTAGTTTGAAAGTAGGTAACTATTTTATTGAGGGGTGAAATTCAATTAAAAATGTTTTACATTTTTTAATGAAGGGAGTATTTTTTAACATTCAACCTTTCAAAAATATAAGAGGAGATTATAGAAATAATGTTTTTTATCAAACAAAAATAAATGTATTTTTAGTCATTACTTATTTTGTAATTTTTTTTTACATGATTAATTTATTTTTACCTAGAGACGCTTTGGTTCAACTAATAAGGGGATTAAATTAAATTATCTTGTGCCCTTAAGATGTCTGTGAGGCCACCATTAGCCCCACGTTTTTCAGGATACAAGGAGATGGAATCAAAAATTATTTTAAAATTTATTTATTTTGATTTGATGTCATATTATATGATATTTTTTTAAGAGTTACTAATAATTAAAAAATATTTATTTTATATTGTATATCCTCTAACTTAAGAAATTAAAAATAATTAAATAGAAACGAGCGCTGATTCCATTCGCATGGAAAAAATGGGAACACCATCTGTTCTTTTTTGAATTTATGTATAAATAGTCTAAATTTATTATAAACTATTTGAATTTTAATTTTTTTATTTCTTAATGCAAAAATCATTTTAAAAATAGAAGTCGGGGCTTATGACTTTGAAAAACATTTTATTTTTTGCATTTTATTCACATTTTATATTTTGTATATTTTAAATTACAAAATTCTAAAACTAGAATAGTTTACAAGATATGGAAGGTCTAATTTTTTAACTTATATGGTTAAATTAAAAATAATCCGTATATGTTTCATTTGTAAGATGAGTATAGGATCTAAAAACAAATATCAATCAGAATAAATTTAAATGGTCTATATTAACACAATTCTACTTTACTTTACTACACTCAAGAGTAGGGAATTCATTCTCATATTATTGTTATTACAACAATATTGTTATTAACTATAGATGGTAATATAGGTCAAGTCCAACAAGCCATCTCTAGTAGGGTTGAAAAACTTTAAGGTCGGACTTAAGAGCTAAGAAAAATCTTAGGATACTAAAATGATACTTACAATGTTAAATATGTTAATCTATGATTGGTGACTAGGATCATTAATCTTTGTTAGGTGGAAACATGATTCTATAGATTAACATAGTTCTCCACCCTCTTCTATTTTATGTTTTAAATTTCGATATGTTAAGATATAATTTCACCTCTTTACAAAGATTAACATTAATTAATATCAACATATTTAATCTTGTTAGTATATTCTCATCATTTTTTGGATATATTATAAAATAAACAAACCAACTTTATACCCAAGATAAATTAGAAGAATATGAAACAATAAAAATAATTATATAATAAAATTATAGAGACTAATGGCCCGTTTGGTTTAAACAATTATAGAGAATATAATATAATGTAATACTAAAGAATGGAATGTAATAAGGATTACATGTGTTTGTTTGTTATGTTATATGAGAAGGGGTATTTTGGTATAAAATGTGGTTATAATAGGGATTATATATATTTATTGATGTAATCCTCTTTAGAGCATATGATATACTCCCTTCGGTCTACTATATTAGTTGCATTCTAAAAAGAAAATGTGGTCTACAATATAAGTCATTCAATGATGATGACTTTGCATTTCAAAATGAAGTTCCCAAAATACCCTTACTATAAAGGAAAATTGAAAGGACTTTCTTTACTTTAGAGAGAGTAATTTTTGTATAAAGTATGAGAAGGAAATACCAAAAAAAATATTATATTGATTTGATCACTTTTTATTTTTCATTTGAGGGTTAGTTTTGAAATTTCATTTACAACTATTCTCTGTACATTTATTGTATTGATATTGATGAGATTAGTAAAAATGACTTATAAATAAAATCGAAAAGAGTAATCACCTTTACTTCATATAATCTCTTTTGTCTTGTCTAATGCCAACCAAACAACTGAAATCCTATAATGCATTAGGATTACAAGGAATCTTCTTACAATGCATCAAACCAAGCGAGCTATAATACTCTCTCTTATTCCATTTATAAGTTACAAAGCGGCTTTTTAAATAATATTTGAAATATATTTTTAAAATTTTTCTTTTATAAAAGATAAAAATAATATGATATTACTTTTTAAATTTATCATATAAAAATATATTTAAAATTTTATATATTTTTATTTTTTATATTAATATTAATAAAATTGATAAAAATAATTTATAAAAAAGATTGAAAGAATACTTACGTAGTTCTTTTCAAATGGAAAGTACTAGGATTTACCAACAGTACACAGACAAAACATGCAATGCGAGTACGGCACATTAAAAAGTGAGGGAGTTGAGGAAAAGGACGTGGACGGGTTGAAAAGTTGAATGGGACGGTTGACCATTGAGAAGTGGACACGTGGTGGAGAAGCGAGGAAGCAATGGTTGTGAAGGCTAAAGCGGATACGCTGGCGCGTACTTTGTGATGCGCCACGAAAAGGATAAAGCCACTTCGCCAACCCGAACCTGATTCTGTGCGCCGCCCACGCCACAACCTCGAACCTCCCTTTTGCTTTACCATTTTTAAAATATTCTGACTCGAAAATATCTAATGCCCTTTTTGTTCACTTTGTTTATGTTTTCCTTTTAAATTTGAATTGAGTATAATGAAATTTTTAATTCCCAACTTTATCTCAATTGTTGATTTTATCTTTTAAATTTAATTTTTATTAATCTTTCATTTTACATTTTTTAAAATTATAATATTAGTTTTCTAGATCTTGAAACACAAATTAGTTTTCAAATTAATGTGATATATAAAATATAATAATAACTTGGTATGGATAAACCATCATTTCCATTTCCATTTTAGCACACAAAGTCAATATGGTGATTGAATTTAGTTCTCGTGATTTTGTTTTGGCCTACGTTACTTTTGGTTTTGTCTTTGTTTTCTTCTCCTACTAGCATTCTTATATTTACAATTCAAGCTTCTCAAATTTACAAGGGAATCTTCATAATTTTTATATTAATTACTCAAGTTTTACATGTAATTAAATTTCCAGTTATTAACTTCATGGTTTTACAAGTCGATCACGGATTGATTAGGGACAATTTAATCTTTTGCACATGCAAAAAAGGACACACATAGGCCTTGGGATTCCACAACGTGTTAATAAATTCGTGGGACTTATTATTTATAAATAAATCCATTATATATGACATAATTAAGCTATTATTATTGTTGTTGCTGTTGCTAATGTTCTGTACTCACAATATCCTTAATATTAATAAACGTTGGCTCTAGTGAAAAGGAGCTACAATTATTTAAACATGAATTTTTGAGTTTAAGTTTGTGTGAATGCGAAAAAAATACCTTTAAAAAAGAGTATTTATCTCCAATTGTAAGCTTAACAATAGTTAAATCTAACTTAATTAACCATATAAAAAAGATCCTTAACTTATGGCAAAAAAAATTAATTAAAAAGCTTCCTTAATTTGAGAAATGAGCATTATTAACCTACAACTATTTAAACATAAAGTCTTGAGTTTAAGTTTAATAATGCTCTAATGAAAAGGTGCTTACGTACTGGCTAGGGGATTAGTATAGCTTAAGTCTCAAATTTAGGGCCACATATATGTAGCGGCTATTAAATTCTTGATGGGAGAACGCCCCTTACTCTTAAAAGAAGTGCTCGCAAGCTGCCAACTAAATTAATTTAGGTCAAATATGAAGGATATCATAGTGAAAGAAAAAAATGAAAAAATTTTTGTGAGAACATGTAACTGTCATAAGAGAATGGAGTGTTGAAGAGAGATTCCTGTCCAAATATAGACGTAATAACGTGGGCTAGTTCATGAGAAACATGTGGAATATTTCAAGTGCGACTTTAATTTTTTTTATTATTATTATTATTTAATACAAATTTGCAACTTTTCATTTAAATAAGTTTTAATGAACTGGGCGTGCATGTTGGGACCAAGATTAATTGTCCGATCCTTCATAATTTATAAAAGAAGCAAATAAAGTGATTAATCATGTGGGCGTCATGCTTTTCTGACACCTAATATTTATCCGTATTGATACTTATCAATATCAATAATAATTTATTTTCATGTCCAAAAAATAATTCTTTTGTTTTCTGATTCAGAGCACACTTTTGTTGATCAAACAACTCATTGGAACAGTTTGCATGGGATGCAATGCAAAGTATGTATCACACAGCTTTAAATATTTGATTATCAATAATCACATATTTTTAATTGTTTTGAGAATAATTAATTGTCTAGTGACAAAGCCATGACTACATCTTTTTAATTAAAATATCTTATTATTAAACAAAATGCAAGCCTATGTTAATTTAATAATCATTTTTTTAATTTTTTAATCATTAATCTAAAAACTGTTAACACTTATATTAATAAACATATGTATACCAAGATTATGTTGCAATTTTTTTATTATTTATATTGAATAGATTTTCTTAAGAAGAATCTTAAAAAAAATTGGTAATATTAGTTGGAAAAAAATATTTTGTAAAACTCTAATTAGCTTTGATATTAACAGTTATTGT